TTGTTTTTTGAGATAGAGTTTTACTGTGTAGCTTTGGAGGCTGTCCTGGTACTTGCTTGTAGACCAGACTGACCTTGAACTCTTCTGCCTCCCAAGTGCTGGGATTAAAGGCTCGCACCACCACTGCCAGGTTAAAAAAAAATTTTTTTTTTTTAAAGAAATGCCTTTAGCCAGGTGTTGGTGGCGCGCGCCTTTAATCCCAGCACTCGGAAGGCAGAGGCAGGCAGATCTCTGTGAGTTCAAGGTCAGCCTGGTCTCCAGAGCAAGTGCCAGGATAGGGTCCAGAGAAACCCTGTTTTGAAAAACCAAAAAAAAAAAAAAAAAAAAAAAAAAAGAAAAAGAAAAGAAATAGCATGCCAAAGTGTTATAGCATTTTATCCACTAATTGAATTGTTTTCATCTTTAAACTTTGAACACTTTCTTCTCTCTTTTTTTTTCTTCTATTTATGTTAAATTGTAGGACTGGTATTTTGTAGGAAAAGCAAAGAGACTTCCTTGGTTTAGTTCTGTTTGGGGAAGGGGGAGTTATTTTTCCAAGTGCTTTTAAGGTTATGCTTTAATAATGGTCTCCCTATATCTGTAGGATGGAGACATTCCCTGCAGTGGCTGAAAAGGTCCTTAAGGAGTTCCAAGTGTTGCTGCAACATAGTCCATCTCCTATTGGAAGTACCCGTATGCTGCAGCTTATGACCATCAACATGTTTGCTGTACATAACTCCCAGTTGAAAGGTAAGGAAAATCCAGTTACTCCATCTAGGCAGAGTTGAATTTAGTATCTTTCCTATGCCACCTTACCACTATTGTTTCTTCGGTCTTTAGTCTCTGAATTCTTTAAGACTGTAGAGCCTGGGTAGGAAAAAGGAGAGATTCATGAGCATAAAGTTTAATTTAGAAATCTAGAGATGCTGTTGAACATCTGGCCATGCTAATGGCAGCAGCAAGGCCTCTTAGAGGCTGCAGACCAGTTTTTCTCCCATGGGAGAGGCATTGCTGAAATGTTTCGTTCCGGAGACCGTATGCTTGGCAGGGATTGGGAATTGCTGTTTCTGGACTCATGTGCCCTGTTTGTTCAATATGGAAAAGTCTAGTTCCCTATGGGATATCCCTTATGGGACCCTGCCAAAGAGTAAGAACAGAGAATTGATGAGCTTTGGTGATTCAAATCTGGAAGCATAAAACCCACCAGGCCCAGAATTTGGCTAGTGTACTGGTATGCATTCTGAAGTGGTTTTTTTTTTTTTTTTTTTTTTTTTTTTGGGGGGGGGGGGAGGGGGGGGTGGGAATTGAAGGGCCAATTGGTAGGGTTTAAAAATGTTCTGATAACTATGTCATATTTGAAGGATGTTTCTAAGATTCCTTCCCCTCCCTCTACCCCACTTAGGTAAGGTTGATGTGGTTTGACTTGATAGAAATATGTAGTATGAGTGACATTATTTTGTGTTTCTTTACAACATGTTGCCAAGGAGTCATTCCAGAGCATCAACAGAGAATGTTTGGTTAGATTCTTATCTGCAATGCCAGGAAGTAGGAATTGCCCCACGGAGACTGTGTCATAAAGCAGATCTAATGTTTCTAGACAGTGCCACTGGCTCTTTGGTTGTACCTTTTCTCAGAGATTTCTCCTCTCACACTGCATTCCATCTATTTCCCTTGTAGGGAACTTCCCTAATGAATGAGTGTGCCACACTTTCCCTAAAGACAGGGATTCTCTTTGGTTTTGAGGAGTTCCTTAGCTAGTTTGCCTAGGTTTTCAGTTACATCTGAATCCTGGAAGACTTTTCCTCATCAAGCTGGCTGATAACAACATCCAGAATTTTCAGCAGTGGGCAAGATACAGAGGTGTAGGAGCCTTTCTCAACTTAGTCAATTACTCCTGAGGAGGCTGCCTAAGTGGGACTGCAAGAAGGCCTGGAGTCTTCAGGGCAGCTGTGGTTTCTAAGAAGAAGGAAATAAAGTTTGTAGTGCTGCCCTGGTGAGCCTGTGCAGTCTTAAAGGGAGGGAAATTTTGTTACCAAGAAGGAAACTCTCAGGGTGTGGTGGCACACATCTTTAATTTTGATCTACTTATCAAGTTCCTGGCCAGCCAGAGCTACATGGTGACTCTGTCTGCTCACTGGTCTCTAGAAGTAGGGCCTCTAGTTGCCCCTGTATCTTCTGCTCTCCTAATCAAACCACTCACTGCTGTGTGAGCTGGAGAGTTGGGGCACATAGTTCAGCAACAAATGACCTGTGGTCTCTGTAAGTGTGAATGTAAAGAGCCTGTTTTCAACAGCATCTGCTGTGTGGAAAGGAATATTTGTACTTTTCATAGACCACCAATGAGTCTTTTTCTTATAGCTGCTGTTAAGTAATGGCTAAGAAAATATAGGTGAGAGGAAGGTGAGGATAGAGGGGGACTGTTCAGTATTTGTAGCCAAGATATTTTTGTCGGTCTTTTCTGTAGTTGTCATAAGATGGGTCCTCTAGCCAGGAATGACAAGTAAGGCCTATGGCCCTACTCCCTGTACTGCTCTTGCCCTGGCTCTCAACTCTACACAGCAAGAGGAGCCTTAGCTGAGGTGGTCACAGGCTCCAAGGGTGGTTCAGGGAAAAACAGCCCAGGCCACAGGATATAACACTCAACTGGGACACAGAGCTCTGTGGACGTGCTGCCAAGTACCCGGTGTGCAGCCGAGGCGGCCATCCAGACCCCACTGTGTGGGCTGCCATTGGGAGAGGGGTGAACAGAGCACTCAGCAGGGCTGGTTGGTGGGAAGATGCACTTTTCCATTTCCCAGCACATGAGTCATCATCTCTGGGCCCCTGTGCTGTGCTTGCACGGACAGTGGCAAGAAGGGGGTGTTGTGGCTGAGTAGCAGCATCTGTGCCGGGGGTGGAGAGAGAGGGGGGTTGGGGAGAGGATAACGATTTAAATCCTTCACTAATCAGCAGCACTTTGAATCACAGTTTTATGAGTAAGGAAGTGATAAATCAAGCTCTGTGTGTTCAGCCCCCAAGTCCTGTCAGCTGGTGCCCTTCTAACGGGTTCTCTCCCGGCCAGTCTGCAGGCTGTCACAGTCACCACCCAGCCACAGATCCCTGGCTGTCTGAAACCAGGAAGCAAGGCCTGACGCAGTCTGGCCTCCCAGGTACTCTGGGTCCTTGGTGATTTGGCAGTCATTGCAAATTACAGAACATCTGGACCATCATTTTTCTTTCCATTCCCTCTTGGATGTGTCCTTCTGGGTGGGTTGTTTGCATATGTCAGTTCCTGGGCTCTGGAGAAGAGCATTCCAGTCTGAAGCAGAGGTGATCTTGTAGCTCACAAGCCAGTTAGATCCTTTCGGTCCGTGCCAGAGTCATCTCCATAGATGTGGGTTCAGAATTATAATTTGGAAAGCAACAGAGATGTTCTTCCTTAAGAAGTATGTCCTTTGCCAATGGCTTCTAGTGCTACAATACCGTCATACTCCCTTTGTGATATTTACCTTCTTTTTACATCAGTAAGCCAGGGGTGGAAATGATTTGGCTGCTAACACTTTATTGTGTTTACTTTTTAAATATGATTTCATTGTAGACATGGAATATTTAAAAGATTTGGGTGTGGTAGCAGACACTAAAGTAGAGGGGCAAAACTATGTGGTGGAGAGAATGGTGTTCTTTCCCTTTCCCTACATTAGGATGTGGGGAGACTAACCATCATGAGCCCCATGTAAAATCCTGCCTCCATGGGATGGATTATAGACAACTTAGAATCTTTTTTTGTTTTGTTTTTGTTTTTTAAGACAGGGTTTCTCTGTGTAACAGCTCTGGTTGTCCTGGAACTACGTCTGGAGACCAGGCTGGCCTAGAACTCACAGAGATCCGCCTGCCTCTGCCTCCCGAGTGCTGGGATTAAAGGCGTGTGCCACCAAGCCCGGCGACAGTTTAGAATCTTAATACTCCGTATAAGATGGTTGGAGACAGATACATTTGAGGTCAGGACAGGGATAGTTAAGGGTTCTGGCACAGACTGGTATTTCTTAGACACAAGGTATTTGTTGAATGCATAAATAAGGAAGGCCATGACTCTAGGAAAGCTGTGTTTTTTACCTGGCTAGTGTGCAAAGTTGGTGGCTAAATAGGTGGTTCCTGGAGTGATGCCACAATGTCTATTGCATTCTGAGCCTAAAAGGAGAAAGGGCCTTCTTCTGTGTTCTCAGTATTAAGACTTTGATAGTGGCCGATAAGAGGCTAGAGGGTGAGCTGTTGCACCAAAATACTCCAAGAACTTTAACTTTTTTTAAATTGTAATTTAAGGAAATAAAACTAGTTTCTTGAAGATCAGTAACTGAAGCAACATTTGTGGTAGGGCATCATGGAAACCTCTTTGCATCCCCCATCTGTGCCCAATTTGCTCCAATCTGGACTTCCCCTCATTGCCCCCACCCTTTTCAAAATATGTTTTATAATTTTTGGAATCAAAACCATTTCAGGCACACTGTTTTATTTTACTGTATTATTGGATTATATTTCCTATAAATCACTGGATGTTACTCATTGGCCACCACTGAAATAACTTCCCTTTTCTGAGCCCTGGCCTTTTCTTTTGCCCTCTCTGCTAGTTCATAGAATGAGTCTCTGTTTCAGCCCTGCAAAAAGAGCCCTGGTAGCAGCAAGAGGGCACCCAAGAGACACTTCTTGTGTACTGTTAATGTTGTTTGCTCTGAAAAAAACATTTAAGTGTTAGAATTGAGGTAGAGCTAGATTGGCTTTCATTTCATATTTGCTTATGTTTTGATTTGGTTTCTGTTTTTTGAAACTGCAGCTGACTGTAGCACAGGCTGGTCTCAAACTTGAAATCCCCCCACCTCTCCTCCTTAGTACTAGGATGACAACTATGCAACACCATTCCTAGCATATGCTGCCTTACGTTATTAATATTCCTGAATTTGCTGGGCATAGAGGAAGTACTACATGGATGTCTTGTGGGAATTTAAAACTACAGCTGCCTACCTGGTATACTAAGAGAGTTTAACATGCAGGCATGGGCTTCTTCATGCCATTAATTATATATGAGAGTTGACTCCAGTTAAGAAATTCCTTTCACAGTCATAATTTGCCTTTTAGCAAGCATATAGCATCTCTGAGTCTTTAGGAAGAACAGTTGTTCTCAACTGAATCATTTCGAAGTCTTTTACTCAAGCAAAAGGTATGAAGTGTCTAATCCTCTGCTTGACAGAACAGTTGTACAGAGGAAATCCACCTTTCATAAGGGGTTAGACTTGAGTTTAGCTGTGTAAACTGTCCTTCTCATTCCTCTTCCCATTTCCCTGTTGATAGAAGTCCTTGGACTCTTTCTCAATGAGAATCATGGGTAGGTAGATTTCTGTTGTAGCATTACTGGTCTTCATTTCCAGGACTCCTCAAGATAGAGAAAGTTAGAGAAAAGCCAGCATGGCCAAATTTCTTTTGTGAATATAAAGGTCAGAATGGGTTAGGTGTGGTAAGGCGGGCTGGAGGCGGCTGAATCAGTAAGCTTTGCCTCTTGTCAACAGACTGCTCAGCCAGACTCCTTTCCTTTGATAATCTGATCATGCCTTTGCTAAAGTTCCCTGGAAAAGAAGACAAGAGTGAAAGAAGTAAACTTCAAGGCACTCACTTATTTTTCTAGCTCTAAATTCCAGTGCCTTTTCTTGTTTTCGGGATGAATCTACTGCTTTAGGCTAAGGAAAGACAGACAGCAGTGAAAAGTTAAATAAGAAAATGTA